TGTTTAGATTGTTTCGGCTAAAAATCGCTCATCTCAAATCGAGTATTCGGGCTGCATATCGCTAAGTCGAAACTTAGAAAAATCATAACTTCCTCATACGAAGTCAGATTTGGACATTCTTTTTATGCACACTCATGGTTTAACGAACTCTACAACTTTCGTTTAGATCAATAAGGCTAAATATTGCTCTAATGTAAATTCACTTTTTACGTCATTCAGCGTTGTGCCAGTTCTGTCGCGAAACTTTGACAGGTCATAGCTTTTTCGTTATAACTCGGATTTCGGCGTTCTTTATATGTACGGAATCCTTGTAACATTAAATACAACTTAGTTAATATCACTCCTTCTAAATAATCTTCTATCAAAAAGTCATTTCTGACGCTTAACGTCTCTAAATTGACAAGTCCGGATCTACAGGCGTTGCAGTATATTGAACATAGGAAGACAAGGGCCTGCATGTACTTCATGACTACTTCAAAAGTATTGATGGAACAATTAAATGATTATCTAAACCCATCCCTAAAACTTAATGAGAAGGAGGTTAGGTATTTTGGTCATAAGTAGCCATGTACTTCAAGACTATTTCAAGGTGATTGCTGATAAGGTTACAATATGTGGCAGTGGTGATGCTCCGATAGTTACTCATGAATCCATTTGATTTCTTAATAACAAGAAATATCCTATTGCTAACAATATAGATGATCTTATTGTCAACAATGTAAATAACCCTCTTGTTAAGAATGTGGATGACCCGTTCATTAACATTTTAGATGATCTTATTATTAACAATGTAATTGATCATTTTTGTTAACAATATGGATGGTCCTACTGTTAACAATATGGATGATCCTTTTGTTAACAATATTAATGAAGATTTTCCTCACTTGGATGATTACTGTTAGTTTGATGATGATTTGGATGATCTTATTATGGATGATATATTTGTAGATGATATAAAAGTGGAAAATTAGACAGATCTATAGTGTTGTTGACCAACACCTACAGTTCCCATATCTTGACTAACCAATAAAATTTCCTAATGAATTATTGGAAAATTACCAACAGATTTCGGAAAACAATATTTTTCAATCAATAGTAGCCAAGGAGGATTTAAGGACAAATATGATATTAATGGATTTCGTAGGTTTCAAGTCTATACGGAAAATTTTACTTATAACACTTAATGATACATGCAATCTAGATAATCTTTGTCTTTTCACGTAAATAACAACATACTATAAAACTACTAAATCCCTATGCTTTGATCGAAATTTACAAATAGCGATGCATACTTTTGATATCGTTATAGAAAACAATATCATTGATTACATGATAGAACTTCATAAAGCTCAGCACCAAAAGTATGATGCCTCTATTGGCGTACACTCAAACCCTAGAAACTAGATGATCTTTTGAAGAGAGGCAGGAGCATGGAATTTTTGGCTATGCTTAACCAACAGAGATATAGCCAAAAATCAAAGGGTTTAGGACCCTTTATATAGCTGCATGAAATCTCTGATAACTACAAAATTTAACGTAAAATAATATTATTTCAAATCAATGAATATCTAGTTTCTTTATATTAATTGGAGGCTTCCAAAAATACCCTTAAGGGAATACCAAAACTGTCCATACCAGGAGGGTTCTGGAACTTCTCCATCGCTCAACTATTAAAAAATTACAGGTCAGTCCTTGCACTTTTTAATTAATTCGAATTAACCCAAAGTTAACTCTTAATTAATTCTGATTAATTCTTAATTTAAATATTACAATTTCTAATTAATTTATTAACCATAATAAATTAACAAATTATTTCCTCTTTCTCTAAAAATCATTCTACACCATTTCTATCTATGAGGGCAACCCAAAAAGGACTTTACTATTATTCCATAAAGTTATACCAATTTAGTATTGACTTCTACCAATTTAGTTATGACCTTGGACACCTATTCCAACAGTCTCCCACTTGGATAAGTCATCAACTACAATTTCAAATATAGACTTTGAAAAAGTAGCAATGTTTGCTTTCCAAAGCCACTACTGAGCTCTTATATAATCAAACGTTGGCCCTTAGATAAGGGATCAATTATTCTTTTGTTCTTTAAGATATTGTATGCACATAAGACATGGATACGAATCAATCTCATGGTTCAAGATTCCATTTTTCGATTTCCGATTTATGATGACTGGATTCAGACTACTAATCGAACACATCAACTTAGTTCAGATAAGACCTTGCACATGAATGTCAACTTCAAATCATCGAGGGGCGCAAAGATATCGCTTTTCTTGTTAAGGAAAAAGGAACGAATTACTTTGACTATATAACCATGCATTTTACTTACCAAATCATACATATAAGTACTCTTTATGACACCTAGTTACGAGATGTGTTTGAGCAAACCAATACATAACTGCTTTGTAAATTATGAACTATATACCTCTGTTTTAAGAATAGTAGATATTATCATCTTAGAATTACCTGAGATTTAATCCATGAAGTAATCTTATTTTATGTTAACTAGAAGTTGACTTTGACTTTGACTTTGATTTGGTCAGGGGTAAAATGGTCATTTTATCCTAAGAACAGTTAGCAGTGTATAACTAAGTGTTTTGTGGGAATTATAGCCGGAGGATTTCCGGAGCAGTATCAGTAGCAATCAGAGGATTCTCGCAAAGATCAGTAACTACTACGAGGTGAGTTACCTTCTAGTAGCAGTGGGTCTACAGCCACAATGCCGGCCTACCAGTAGGAGTTGTATGATTAGATGATTGTCTTTGTGATACCATGTAGGTTTGCTACTACCTGATATGTTATATGCTGGCATGATATGTTATATGTGATAGTAGTAGAGTTCGGTTGTTAGGACCGAAGGGTAGGTCAGACACCCCAGATATATCTGATAATATGTGTTGATATGTTTATATGTTGGCATGATATGTTATGTCATAGCGGTAGTAGGAGGGGAATAGTCCCCAAGTTTGGTTGTTAGGACCGAAGGGTAGTTCGGACACCCCATATATGTATGATAGTATGTTTATGTTATGATATATGTGATAGTAGCAGTAAGGGGTGGAATAGTCCCCTGAAGGTCGGTTGTTAGGATCGACGGGTAGGTCAGCACCCTAGAATGACTTAACATGGCTAGGACGGCACCCCATAATGGCTTCATGGGTAGGACAGCACCCCAGAATGGCCGCATAGGTAGGTCGGCACCCAAGAATGGCCTTACCAGGTAGGTCGGGCACACCATAATTGCTCGGCAATATGTATGTTATGTGATTGCATGGTATGTGGTACGATGGGGGAACTCACTAAGCTTCGTGCTTACACTTTACAATTTTGGTTTCAGGTACCTCTTCAGCGAAGGGGAAGGAGCTGGTGCGGTAGCGGTACATCATACACACAATCTTTGTTTTCCGCATCATGAGTTATTCTGGGATTTGTACTCTGACATTATTATGTTTTTACGATTCGGTTTTCAGATACGAGACATGATTTTATTAAATGATATGATCTGTTTATATTTTGATATAAATGTTGTGCAAATCACTTAATCAAAAAATGAAATTTTTGGTCGTGAAAAGTGGGTTGTTACATGCTTGATGTCTTTGTGATTCATGCATGTTTTGTTATGAGTTCTGGACTTCGGTCCGATATCGGGCAAGCCCGATGCAGATTATGTGATTATGTTATGTGTTTATGATATATGTTTTGTTAAGCATGTGTCGGGGTAAGCCCGATGCCGGGGTGAGCCCGATGCCCGATGCGTTCAGATGCTGGGGTGAGCCTGATACCGGACAGAAGTCCGATGCCGAGATTCATCCCGATACAGTTGGGAAGAGTCCCAAAGTTATGTTAATTGTTATATATGTTTTGTATGGTATGTGGTAATTTGGGGGAGTTCACTAAGCTTCGTGCTTACAGTTTTCAGTTTTAGTTTCAGGTACTTCAACTAGTAAAGGGAATGGCTCGAGCTGATGGCATAGCACCCACCACTATTGATCAGCCTTGGAGTTACTCTGATTTTACTATGAGACTGTTATTTGTTTATCAGATTTTATGGATTGAGATAATTGTTTTATGATTTTACTTATTGTCAATGAGATTTATGTTTATTAAATGATTTTAAAAAAATGAAATTTTTAGCTTGTATTTTGGGATGTTATATATATATATATATATATATATATATATATATATATATATATATATATATATATATATATATATATATATATATATATATATATATATATAGAGGAAAAAGTGAATATATAGATGTCATGTACGTAATATTAGGTATAGAACCATAAAAAATAATTTCATTTTAATTAAAAAACACAATTTTCTTTCATTTTTAGATTATTCCTATTGTTTTTGAACTCATATTAATTTAGATTTCGTGATTCATCCCAACATCTATGTATTTCGAATGTGTTTTTTTATTAGACATCTAATAATTTTTATAACTTCCTTCGAAGTCTACCTTATGTATAGTTGCATAGTTTTTTTGGCGGGTTATGAAATGAGGTTTATTAGGTTTTTTAATGAGTATTTTCAATTTTTCACTATAGTTTTCTGTATTAAATTTCTATATGAAGACCTATAAGTAGTTGATAAAATATTCTTATACACGATTAATTTGTGGTGTAAAATTAAATTTAAAAAACTCCATAAAAATATATATACAAAGCCTAGCATAAGGTCTAATAGAAGATGCAAGAAAGACCCTACAGAGATTTTATTGCATTTGGTTAAAATGATCTAGTTTTTTATGGTTCTATACCAAATATTAGATACATAACACTCACATATATTGTCTAATATATATATATATATATATATATATATATATATATATATATATATATATATATATATATATATATATAATGTGGGTTGGCTCCTAGCATAATGTCAATTCTTTATTTTGGCACACAATAAATAATGGCCAATAAATGAGGGTTTTTCCTTATAAATCATCGAGTCTCAGTTTGATTCTTGCTAGATGCATAAAATATACGTAACACCCTTACATATAATCCAGCTTATCTAAAAGTTGACTAGCTCCGATAACCCTGCTGACGGAGAGGGAGGGAGAGAGTCCTTAAATTATACTTCATTTTACTTCTAGATCTGCAAAATCACCCCAAAAAAACTAGTAAGTACATCAACTTGTAAGAAACTACCTGTATGTCACTCAATTGATATTTAAAAGACTTTGCACCTATTGATCATGAGTTCAAATAATTATTATAAGAATGTCTTATAGTATTATCTTTAATATATATTACCTTAAAAAAAGATTGTTGAGCAATTTAGGTAAAACCATTTATGGTTTTGTTATTTGAAAAGAGCGAATGATGGAAAGATATAGACTCTAGACATCTATCTACCTATATCTGTTATGATAGAAGCATACAAATGGTAGCGACTGGGAGTAACATGTTCTTCCTTCCTTGTCTAATAGCATATGATATCTACAATTATCGCATTAATTCATGGGGCTACTGCAATAAATCTCAATTTATATGAATCAAACAAATTTTGGTCCTTTCAACTAAAGGGCCTGTATATGTGCCATGAACTGAAGTCGACACTTAACTAGAAAATTACGCCTTACAAGATTTTATACAACTGGTATATCATATAACACCATTTTTCATAAATTGACATGAAGCTTAATTTAGCTTAATTGATCATGCATGGGGCTAGTGCAATAGAGTACTGCATTCATGTGCTACTATTAATATAACCAAGAATTAAATAATGATCCTGTATATAGGCAAACTGATAAGAGCTTCTAAATCGATCGTAAATGTTTATGTAAATTTGGTCTTTAGTTTTTCCTTTCCAGTAATTATTTCTTGTTATTGTGGTATATTTTAATTCTTGCTACATTCAGAAGATATATTTATAGTAATATATGGCTTTCTCAAAATTTAGGATGCTGAAGGGATAGCTAGAAATCTACCAAATCAATAACGTACGCCAGCATGATCAGTTGTGTGTAGACGCACGAGGTAATAAAAGGCACCATGCTGGAGAGACTGTGTAGTGACCCCCCAATCGTTCGTCACCACAGTATGTCCAGTGGAGTCTATGAGCACCACATCACTCCCAAACGCCTCCTTGACATTAAAGGGTCCAAACGCCACCTCAAAAGGCACATCGTTGATAAACACTACTAACTTCTTCCCCATTCCAACTCCCTCATCACCTGCATTTCAACACACAAGACCATTAAGTACATACACATGCACATCATTCTTTACATCTTATATGCGTACAGAAAATTAAATTAAAAAGAGTAGGAGGAATGATATATAGACACCTTCAACATCATTTATCGTTAATGGAATAATACTTGAAGTAGGAGCGGGAGGGACAAGTGCAGTAGGAACTGCAGGTGGTGGTGGTGGTGTTATGCAAGTAGAAGCTGTCGTTGGTGGCGATGGTGTGTTATGAGTTAACGTTTTGATAATATCCTCTTCTTCAACCTCGTTGCCTTTAGAATGCTTATTTGGGATTCCATATTGAGGATTCATCATCAAATCAGTAAACGACATGCTAGTGCTACTCAAAACCGTGTGGTCATTATTATTCATTGGACGATTTTCCTGATTAATCATCGTGCTCACATCGGGAAAGAAGAAATCTTGTGTGCAACTCGCAGTCGTAGGTGCCAGAGATTCTTGTTGCACCACAGGGAAAGAGAACGATTCCTGAAAGAATTGTCCATGGTGTTGGTGGTGGGAACCAGCCCCCCCACCACCACCTAAATAGGAGTGCAAAAGGAACTCGGTTGACTTGGATGAGGAATTGTCTGAGTAGGACGATGAAGAGGTGGTTGCTGCCTTGGTGGCAGCCGGAGAGACAGGCTGAGCTTGGCGACTTTGTGATTTTTGGAGGCGGCGGGTCTTGATTTTGCTTCTAGATTTCCTGTTCTGGAACCAGTAGAAGACGTTGGCGTCGCCGACTTGGCCATACTCTTGCAGTCGAGCTCGGATTTTTTTAATTTCATCTCTCGGTGGGTTTATCATTCCTGAGTTGAAAATGGATTCAAGGATCTGAATTTGCTCGGGTTTAGGATTCCATCTAGGCTTTGGTTCCGGGGTCCTTTCGTCACATCCTGCCATGTTTCAATGCGTTAGTTTCTGTGATAATACTATTATAATTAAAAATCTTGCATCATGTACGTAACGTATGGAGCATACACAACTTTTTTTCCGGATGTATGCATCAGAAACTGAAACAGTAACTTATGCAATTCATCAGCAATACAAGATTATCAGGAACAGTTCTAGATACGTCCAAAAAGCAAATCTTCACGAAAACTCACTATCACAATAGAAACATATATATAATCATGATATAGATCTTAAATCAAACTTTTCAACAAGTAGCTAGATGGAGAATATAGACCAATAAATCATAATTCCCGCATGATTATCACTATAATTTGTTTTTTAAGTTGAAAAAGTTATGAGAGAAGAGGAAGAAGAAGACAAGGATAATTGAGAAAATTACCATAAGTGTGAGGAGATGATCTGTGGGGAGCAGAAGTGACAACATGGTTCGAGCCATGGTGGTCCTGATGAGCGGTGTAGGTGGGCTTTGATTTGAACATACTAGGCCAGTGCCTATTTGAAGAAGTCATCTTAAATTACTATAGCTATGAATTCTGTATTGATTGATGATGAATGAACTTCTCTTCGCCCACTTAAAGTTAGAGACAAAAAAACATCTCCTACTATACCCTCTTTGTGTTTTGCCTCTATCTAGCTTTTCTGGTTTATAACCGAAGAAGAATGAAAAGTCTAGGCATATATAACATCGCCTCTTATGGCCATATAGACTTCTCACCTACTCCTGCATTTGAGTTAAGTTATAATTCATATAAAACAACAAATAATAATACAATACACTGGATTAGTTAATAGACAAAGTATACAGTTTATAAACCTAAAAAGGAAGCACGCCTTAGAACCATTGCATGTTTTTCAATATATATATGAAATTTTAATGAATTTTTCGAAAGTAACTGTTAAAATTCGAAGGTACTGAAAATGCTAGAAGAGTGGATTTGATATCCTGTATTTGTATCTTTCTAAGAGGAGATGGTGCAAGTTCTTATATTGCTAAGGGTTTTAAGTACCATAGTGCCAGAGAGGATACACACACACACCTAGCTATCTTCTAAGAATTATATTCCTCCTTCCTTTAATTACCTCAATTTTTATATGGGAATACTGCAGAGTGAAGTATTAATGCGTATGAGAGAGAGAGAGAGAGAGAGAGAGAGAGAGAGAGAGAGAGAGAGAGAGAGAGAGAGAGAGAGAGAGAGAGAGAGAGAGAGAGAGATAATCATCATAAGATGGTGAAAGAGGGAGAGGGAGAAAAGACTTATTCTTTTACTTTGTTTAGGACATATTCTACGGCAAAAAGGTTGGTTTGCAGGCAAAGAAGAAATAGGAAGCAATTGAAAGCCAAGAAGAAGGCATGTTAGGGTTGGAGTGCGAAAGTGGTGGTGGTAGTGGATTTATTGCTAGTTCGGTTATTTCAGGCAAAGTTATAATATGGGTTCTTCTTGGATTGACTCGAGGGCAATTTATTTCCTTTTCCATCTTTCAATGAGAGATAAAAACTAATTCACATGGATGAAAATTTGGAGTAAAGTTCTTTTGAAAGAGGCAAAGAGCTATGAAATCATATTCAAGTGGTATTTTTTATTTTTCATTTTTAATTTTTTTTAATCAAATGGCATCTAGCTATTGCAACATTAGTTCACTACTCACTAGTATCTAGGGCATCATCATTTAAACTTCAAAATTTAGATTATTTTGTAAAAAACAAATAGTGTATTTAGATCCATGCGGTTCTATTGGTTTTTAGGTAATTGGTTTTTATCCCTAAAGAGATATGAATTTTATAATACAAATAATACAAACAAAAACCTACAAAAACCATCTAAATAAAACGACATCTTCGTGTATTTTTCGAAAATAAACACATTGTATTTTACAATAATAATCAATATTTAGTAAAAAATCACTTTCAACATTTAAAATTGTTAATCGATTTAATATTTCTTGAATCATGGTACTTCGGAGATACGATTTCAAGAGTTTCAATTTTCAAAAACTTTTTTCCATGGAAGCAACCTTAACCAACACCGTTAACAAAACATTATAATAATTGTACTTTTTACTTAAGATGCCATCATTTCGAATAAATTATTTTAAATTTTATAATTAAGATAATGATTATGTGTTTCTTTGTCTGTAATCATTCGAAAATATTCTTTCGTTAGCGGATCAAACTCAACAATCATTTCAAGTACACTTAAAAATTTACCGTTTGAAATTTCATAATGTTTTCAATTGTACCACAAAAAAAAAACTTGTTTTTTTGCTATATTTTACAACCTTTTAACTAATATGCCAACATTTCGAGTAAATCATTTTGAATTTTATGACTAAGACAATTATTATGTGATTTTTTTAGTCCGAACGAGAATTGTCATTTCTTAATTTATGAATAAAAAAACACATGAAAAATGTCTAGAAGTGAATCTTTTGGAAAAATTATGATGGTATCAATTTCTCTATTAGGCCCTTTTACTATTAATAAATTTATCATCTATGAATCTAAATTATCTCGTAGGATCAAAAATATTAAATTCACTTTGGTTTATCTTTATCAACAAAGTCATTATTTTAAATATCAAGCGAATCATTAGAAGGATCACGTAGATTATTAAAACTATTGATCATCATTAGAAGTATTTTCGTTGACATTTTGATTTTTAACAAAAAAAAATTTCAAAACCCTCTTAAACGATTATCCTTTTCTTGTTCTTTTTTTCGTTTTCTGTTATGAACATCAGATGGTTGTTTTCGAAAAACATATTTAAAACACAACAAATCTAATTATAAAGCTAAGAAAACAAAGACAAAAGCTGACTAAAGTTTTGTTTTATTTTCCACTTCAAGATGTCAAGAGATCTGAAAAAATGAATAAAAGAATCAGAAAAAAGAATCCATTTTTAAAAACTATTGTCTAATAGCAATAATTAAATAAATTTAAACCTTCTGCTACTTCTAGAAGTCTATATATTCAAAATAATCAGAATTTAGAACGCAAAAGTTCAATGGAGAATTATATGCCTTATGATTCACATCATAGAAACAAGAACACAAAAGTTTATAAATAAACTTTAGAAATTTGTATTAGAAGCAAACCACATATAATTAGAAATTTTACGTAAAGCAAACCAAAAAATTCATATACAAAACAATAGATTTAAACTCAAACAGAGGAGAAATAGAGCTCAAACATAGTAGAAATCTTTGAGACTTTGAGTCTCTTTTACTATAATCGAACACCAACAGATAAAAAAAATCCACCTAAATAAATCAAAGAATAAAGAGAAATAAAAAATAAGAAACAAATTAAGAAAAAATGAAATAAAGAACTCACCCAAATCAGCTGGAGAATGAAGAGAAATTAGAAATCAGAAAATCAAACATGTCCTTTCTTTCATTGTCCTCTTGTTTCAGGTTGTAATCGAAAGTTGGAATGTAATGTCTCGTTTTCACAAGCAAACTATTATTTTCTAAATAAGGTAAAATCATCATTTATATAAAACTCAAGTTATGAAATTTCATTTGTTCCAAAATACAGTTGTTTGAAAATAAGAGTAATATAAATAATGTGGAATCTAAATTGTTGTTGATAAGTGTGTGCAGTTACGCATTCGCCTTCCCACAATCACCACTGATACCTGAAAAACATTTAATATATAACTGTAAGACAAAGCTTAGTGACTCCCCCCAAAATATCAAACAGCCAATACATATACAATGCATGAACACATGGGCCTTCAGTCTGCCTGGACCGCCTTGTAAGGCCTACAAGATGCCTAGATCGCTCTCAGGGCCGGTCCAAATGTATATGAGGCCCGGGGCAAAAGGAAAAAAATGACCCCTTAAAGACAAATATAATAAAGATTCAAAAAAAAATATCATTTATTCTTCACTATAAACATATTCAATTAGCAGAAGCAAGCAAGACAAATTATTTATCTTTTAAGCTAGTTTGAGTTTGAACCAACTTTAGGCCCTAAAAATCATTTTGGTAATAATTGGTTTATATATGTACACTACATAGCCCATAAATTTTGGGCCCCCTGGAGTCGTGGGCCCTGGGCGGTCGCCCGGGTTGCCCACCGTCTAAACCGGCCATGATCGCTCTACTAAGCTTACAGTCTATTGGATCGCCTCACAAGGTATATAATAGCTAGACTGCTCCCTTGGTCCTCTAGTCCACAACTGATCTGTTGGATTAGATGTTTAAGCTCATAACTATAATTGGTATGTACTTGACCTGAGAGTAGCATGGTCCATTTCGGGTTGCCTTCACCAGAACAATCTGATAGGATAGATAATTGAGAAAGAGGTTATTTGTGATTTATTAATATATTATACGAATAATATAGTAATTAAGAAATCATATTATTTAATTGGTATTGATCAAGAATTAATTTGGAATTAATTTAGTGATCAAAAGAGGCTAATTAAATTAACGGGGACTGATTATGTAAATCAGTGATACATATAGTTTGGGCCAATGATCCATGATTGATTAGTGACGGACTAAGTTTATGTGAGAGTCCATGAAGTGTTATTCCATAAGGCTAATGAGTTATTGGATTGAAAGCCCAAATGAATTAGGGTTTACAAGATGAAATCCTAGGAATTCCACACTATAAAAGTAACCCTTTACCTCCAAATTCACCACTCTAAGGGTTCTAAGAGAACCCTAGCCGATTTTGGTGGTTCTAGACTCTTTCTCAAAGTCCTCCATTTGTTCATGGTGTTTGTGACTTGTTTGAGGCATCACACTTGAGGTGCTAAGCTCTTGAAAGGCCAACAACTACAAACTACAGATAAGAAGTATTATTCAAACTTGTTTTACATGTACCAAATTTGTATGCTAGATACGTTTCATCCTTTAGATAATTTTTGTTACATGTATAATTATAGAAAACTTAGATCCAAGGCATTAGGGTTGTATGTGCACCATAGGAGTGTTATAATACTGAAAACTCAACAATAGTATCAGAGCTATGAGTTGTTTTCTATTATATTTGATGCATGGCTAATTTTCAAAGCTGGAAAATTTCAATTTTTACTGTCTGACTGCTGGACTCGACGAGTCCCATGAGTGGACTCGCCGAGTTGGATTATTTGGGGATAACTCGTCGAGTCCATGCCCCGACTCAACGAGTTAGGTAGTTTGTTAGTAGAATTTTCAAGTTTTTGGTCTGTTTTGGATTAGGATCATTACCATAAAATGTTTTGGTCCATAAAATTTTATTTTGTTGGTATGATAATGATTATCCCCATCCGATAACATGACTATTGCTAAATTTTAAGATAATTAATTGATTTTGTGAAAAACTAACTATTTGTAAAATTTGGATCATTTTGCTACAAAAGTTGAATTAGATCAATTTAGTAATAGATAAAATGATATGATTGTTTTATTAGTTTAAAGTTTGATCTAAATGTTTCTTGAATAATTTCATAACGTGTCCTCAAGTTATGGAGCTTGAAAAGTCTCTATTCATGAAACAAATTAACTCCTTAAGTTATGGATTTCAAGAGTCTTGAAAGGTTACAAAACCTTTGGAATCCAAAAGGTTTTAAAGAGTTACAAAACTTTCCCTCAAGTTTTGGAATTTAAAATTTGATTAAAAAGTTTTAATTATGAAATATTAAATACTCCTTTTGACTTGATAACTTAAGTTTAGAATTAAAAGTTTTTTAATTATGGTTTTGTTGATAATTAATTAAAAGATTAATTAAAATAGTATTAATAAATCCATAAATATACGGTTTGAGTTTAATTAAATTTAAAGTCTAGTATAATTAATAGATTAAACCATCTAGTATTTTAAAAGTTTAAAAATACACCCTTATACTATATAAAATTAAAAGTTTAATATATTACATATGTATAAGTAAAATGTCAATCTTACCATTAGTGGGCCTCATTCACGAAGCCATTCTATAAGGGGGTATAGGGATAATTCCTATAAAATTATGGTTTAATGGGTGTCCACTCTCACCCACCGCTTCCTTGACTGGTGGAGGCGTTAGCCGAACATGT